TATGTTGAGCTGTAGGGGACTCAGGTCAACAATTTCTGACATTGCCAGTCAAGTGGAAGACCCAATACTATTATGGACTACTGGACTCTTTTAAAATATTTTGCTGAGTTAACACACTTATAATATTCAAATGACAGAACTAAACAAAAAAGGGGATACAGATGAATGTCCATTTTGTATCTGTGTATTCAAAATGGTTAAGATAGATAGATAGTTACATTCTCTTAATGAATAAAGGGATTTGTTCTAATAGTGTTTTTTTTCTAATAGTGTTTGTAAATAGGATATCATGTTTGCACCTTGTATAGCAAATAACTACTAGGAAGAGAGTACGCAATGTGTTAATTATTGAAACTGTCCTACCAATTTGATTTGAAACTGTCTCATTGCTATTTGTTTCTCAATAAAATTATGGGGAAAAAAAGCTACGTGCCTCATACAACATGTAGGAAAAAGCATTTCCCTCCTGAAAAAAAGATTTAAACCTAGCCTACTGGTTTGACAAAGAAATCAATGTCTTCTTTTCATTGCAGGCAAATCACTGGGAAGAGGAGCTTTTGGGAAAGTGGTTCAAGCATCAGCGTTTGGCATTAAGAAGTCACCCACTTGCCGGACTGTGGCTGTGAAAATGCTCAAAGGTCTGTATGCCAGTTTGGCTGTCAGCTGACTTGTCACTTTCATGAAGCCCCTGAATGTGGGTGCAAGTTGAAGACAGCCTAGCAACAGGCAGGAGCTGCTTCTGCTGCGGCCACATCAGTCCTTCACTGCCACCAGTCCCACTGCTCTAGAGCTTGTGGACTGAGCTCACACTCGCTCCAAGTGACCTTGTTCCTGGAGCACAATCTAGCCTGCCCATGAGAAAATAATCTCTGTCACCACACGGTTGCTGTCTTCTCACCTCTCAGACAAGACTACCAGGGACATGCGGCCACTGTCACGTACGTCCAAAGTGCTGACCAGAGCCACTGTAGTAGTGTAACAGAAACAGAGCTGCACACCACAAGACAACAGCACTAGCCTGAGTTCACCCCAACCCGAAAGACAGAACTCTCTTGGTCAGAATTTTCAACTGTTTCATGCCCTAACTGGAAAACGTTTCCTTTTAAGAAAGTAAAATATTGAATTGTATCTTTCTAGTATTAAAGGACAATACAGCTGTAAAACACTGAGAGGAAGAGTCAAATCACACTCTGATTTATAATCACGACTGTAAAACAGATTGGAAAGGAAATTGAGTGAAAAGCAATACACTCACCGTCTCAAGTATCTCAGAGAGTCATAATACTTAAAGTATAGAAACATAGCCCCACGTGGGGCCCAGGCCTATAACCCTATTACTTTGGGAGAATGAGTCAGAAGAACCACAAGTTAGAGTCCAGTTTGGGAAACAGTGATTTAGAATTTAGAAACCCTGTCTCAAGGTTTTTTTACAAGAGTGGGGACATGGCTAGAATATAACTTGGTACAAAGACCCCGGGTTTAATCTCTGGTACCATAAAAATAGTAACAAGAAGAATAAAATGAAATACTTCATTTCCCAATTTGTGATGGAGTTGTGCTGCTTCAGTTTGCTTTAAGATTCCAAAACCAGAAAGAAACAGCAGTGAAAAGCACAGTTGGTAGCTTTCCAAGGTCCCGAAGATGGTGTGTGTCCAGGCAATCAGGTATCAGGGAGAGCCCTGTGTGAGGGCTGCTCAGGCTTTCTCCTCAGCACCCCACACCACTGCATGCCACCTCAGAAGGCTGCCCTCATCAGGGACCTGACCAATGTTCCCAAAACTAAGACAGGAGGAGAAATTCTGCTGTTCTACAGAACAGTAGGGTGTCCACCGTCTATGACAATTTTTCATATATTTTATAAAAAACGAAAGAGAGGAAATTAAATGTTCCCAGCACAAAGAAATGCTGGAGGACGGGGAAATGCTAGGTGCCCTGATCGACCATTGCGCATTGCAGACAGGTACTGAATCACCACTGTACTCAGGAATGTGTGCCATCATCATGTGCCAAAACACAAGCGCGTAACCATAAACCTGACAGCACTGCTCTAAAGGCAGCCTGGGAAGCTGTGTAGCCCCTGTTAGGACTTTTATTGGGAGTGGGCTACTCAGGTGATGGTAAGCATTTCTGTAAGAATCCTGACATGGCAGTATGCTACTCCCGCCCCTGATCCTAAAGAGAAACGGCATCAACACATTTTTTTTTGTGAGAAAGAAGCAGACCAGGTATTCTATTAGTATGGCCCACACAAAACTGCAGCTTTACAGTTTTTTCTCCATAGCCTCCGTGAGGTAGATATTATCTCCAAACAAGGCCCAGAGAGGCTCAACAGCCTATAAAGCTGCAGAGCCGCTCAGTGCAAAAACAGTATAGGTGTGTGTCTGAGCCTTCCAGCTCCAAGTGATTTGTTCTTTCCTTCAAGCCACAGTGGCAGAGAGAGGGGCTGCAGAGACCTGGTGCCCCTGAATTGGTCCTTGTTCCCACTCCTGAACATGATGGTGGCCAGCTTCACGGGAACAGTTCAGAACCCTTCCCAGACATAAGCTAAATGGAAAGTGGGACAATCTACTTTATCAGCTGGCCCCAATTCTGCACTTGCTGCCACGGTCCACGTCCTGAAGGCCAGGTTGTCCATGCTATCCTGTGCCCCATGTATCACCAACGCCCCTGCCTAGAAAGGAAGCAATGTGAGCCACAGGAACTGGGTTTTTTCTGTGTTAAAGGGTGAGTTTGAAGGGAGCAAACGTCTTTGGGAAAGGACCAGAAGATTTTTTCTATGCAATACAGAAATGATATGGAAATCATGTGTGCAATACCTTTGTAAGTACATTTTTAAACCATGAGCATTGGTTGAAAAAGGTTGGCAAATCACCCACTCTCACAAACTTCCTAAACAACTACTGTCATTCAGCATTCTTGCCAAATGGTTAGCCATATGTTTTAGGGAGAAAGAGAAAAGGCAGAGTGTCACACAAAGTCAAAAGCTCTTTCAAAGTACCTCGGAGTAAAATCTCAACCTTTTCAGACCTTACACCCATAGGTGAAATGAGAAGTGTAACCATGTTGCTTATTTACCCAAAAATGTCTGTTGAGCATCTAGTGGAAGCCAACCTCTTCCTTACTGGGAAGCTTCTGAAGTTTATCTAGTTATTATTAAAAAATGTTTTGTGCTTATGAAATGCCATGCTGATGTCTTAATATGGTTAAATGTGCACACATTTAACCCACTTTCAGGGCCTGGCCCTACAGAAGTACTTATGTAAGTGTACCAGGATGCCACACAGGCTTTCTACCACAGCATTACTTATCACGGCAAAAAAAAAAAAAAAAAAAAACTGTAGACAGTCTAAATATCAGAAACATTATTAATAAAGTAATAGAAACAATTTGATGTATTAAAAGGTGGAAAAAAGTTTTTTATATGCATACAAATGATTCCATTTATGTAGACCCTCAAAATATGACCTTTGGCATATTTACAAGTGCATAAAAAGGGGTCACTTTTAGGTAGGTAAGTGGGATGGAATGACTTGATATTTTTACTTTGATCCTTTTACTCTAAATCTTTTTTGTTTTGTCTGTGTTTTGGTGCTGGGCATTGAACCCAGGACCTTGTGCATACTAAAAACACATTCTGTCATGAAGCTATCTCCCTGCCCTCTTCATTACTTTTTATTTCAACTCACATTGTTGAACTATATGCAACCTGATTTGGCTTTTATATTTCTAAAGATAAATGTCATTTTTAAATTCCTTAGAAAGTAACCAATAAGAACAAACAGGACAAACTGAATTTAGATTTCAGACTTTGCTAATCCTTGGACAGATATTGCACACTGGTGAGAACAAGTTGAAGTAAGGTGACTTCATAATCCAAGATAACCCTGTGACTCAGGAATGGAAGGGTGTGTAGAGAAAATAACATGCTGCACAGGTGATTACAGAAATAGCCACGCAGCCCTTGCAGGCCCCTTTTGCTCCTTCTCTGACTCCTTAAGCAGGGAGAAAGAAGGAGGGGAAGTGTGCGTGTATGCCCTGCTTGGAGAGTTCTTGCTGCACCTGCTTGTGCTAGAATGGAAGCCTTTAGAAGGCGCTGTCACTAGGTACCCAGCTCTGAGTCAGCACATTGCTAAACAAAATAAGGTCCACCAAGAGGAAATGTTCAGTGACTAACACCATCAGCACACTGAGCCTCCCTGTAATGAAAAGGATGTTAGCTTGGGAGTGTAGGAGTAATGAAAACAGTCTGGAGACTTGGCCTTTTCTGCAGAATACAAGGAAGTTAATGAAGCAATGGGTTCAGCACTGACAAACAAGGAGGGCAGAGCGCTGCCTTCTGTGGAGGGCGCTCATTGTCCTGTCACCCTGACCTTCCCTTGCTTCTCACACAGAGGGGGCCACAGCCAATGAGTACAAAGCTCTGATGACTGAGCTCAAGATCTTGACCCACATTGGACACCATCTGAATGTGGTTAATCTGCTGGGAGCCTGCACCAAGCAAGGAGGTAAAGGAGAAGGGGAGAGCCTGCTCCATCTCCACACGCCTGCTGAGGGACGAGCACTCTGATAGCTGGCTCTTTCTCTCCACCCCTGTTCTTCCTCACCCCTGAGGAAATAGGATCTCCGTAGCTCCAGAAACATGGGCCGACACAACCACCTTGGGAATACCCTCCCAGTAGGTTCACGATTCAGAAGAGACTGGCTCCCTTGTAGATTTCCTTTCAGTTGGAGGGCATTTTTCTCTCATGATGAATTTAAGGCAGAGTGACTAAAAGGGTGAAAGGTTGCACAATTCCTTGACTTTGTACATATGAGTCAGTACAGGTGGAATCCTAGGAGGAGGTAAGATAGGGAACAAGGGCCCTTGCCCTCACACCCTCAGTGCAGACAGGATCAAGAACAGGCCTGTGCCTCAGGACTGTGGCTCCAGCTTTTCTTCAAACCTTTCTTTCGTCTTCTACAGAAAGGTTAGTGCGCTTGCTGCAGGAGACAAAAAAAAAAAAAAAAAAAGTGCGAAGGGACTGTGCTTACAAATATCTCTCCAGGCTCCCAACAAAAAAAAGTAAGGATCAGGGGCATTAAAAGACCTACCTGCTAGGAATAGTAGGTTAAAAAGTAATTAAGGGTTAGAGAGGCCAGAAATGCAGTGAGAAGAATGAAGACAGAGCCCTATGCTCCTCCATTATCCTTTGACAAGCCTGTCTAAAGTTCTTGCTGCTGCAGACTCATCGTGTCTGCCACAGTGCTGCACCTGTAGAACCAAGTAAGGCTAAAGAGCACCCACTTCTAGGTGGGCGTCAGGATGGAAGCCCTTCCTGGGCGAGGAGGACTGCTGGACTCTGGGCAGATGCAGAGTCTGAACCTCTCTCCTAGAGGCATGCAAAAACTCCGGAAGCCACTTGTGTTCTGAAACCCCGAGGGTAGAGAAGTTTACCTACAAATATTTAAAATCCAGCAAAGCCCTGGTAGCAACAGAAATCTGCTCTACGGAGAAGAGCTCCCACCACTGTAAGCCTGGAACAGGCAGGCACGGAGGCATGGGGGCGGGCTCCCAGCACGCTGCCTGCTGGACCAACCCCGGGTCATTTCCACCGCTTCTGTTCCCTGGAGCGTCTGGAGCACAGAGAGGCCATTAGGATACTTCCTGGACCCACAGTGCAGGTGGACTTGGTTTCAGCAGCTGGCTTCCATTAGAACAGGGGTGGCAAATGACTACTAGCTTGTTGGCTGAGAATGCTTTGTCTTTTTTAAATAATTGGGACAACAAATAAAAAATGAAAATTTTGGTGTTTCCATAATTTTGTTGGTGCGTAGTCATATTCTTCAGCTGTATTGACAAGGTCCATTTCAATAGTATAAGGGTGGAATTGAATATCTGACTGGTCTGCAAACCCTGGAATATTTACTACATTATTCTTTACAAACGTTTACTGTAAAGCAAAGCTTTGCTCCCTCTCACAAGCCCCTCGGAAAGCTGTAGACACTCCAGGCAGCCTTGCTTCTGGGGAGGCAGGCTGGGTAACTGGTTTCCACCTCAGAGGCAGAAAGAAACTGCTTAGTAATTTTAGGGCAGTGTGATGACAGTAACCAGAGGCCTCTCACCTGGGGGGCAGGGGGCGGGGTGGTGGGCTGCCCAGTGGGGCAGAAGATCTGGCTGGCTTTTATTTGTCTCCTCCTGAAAGGTATTTCTTTGCTGATTCTTCTGCCCTCCCCCACCTATCTTCATTTTCTATCTCTATTGTATTTATGAAGCTCCTTCTCAAACTAAAATGAAAAAAAAATCACTAGATTCACAGTCTCTCATCCCTGGGTTGACTCCTAGGCTCTCGAAATAGGAAGACAACTCGGTCTGGGGTTTCTCAGGCCAGCTGAAGGCTGGCAAGTGGCTGGGTAACTTGGCATGGCTGAGTATGTGCTATGTTTTGCCTGTAGGGCCTCTGATGGTGATTGTTGAATACTGCAAATATGGGAATCTATCCAACTACCTTAAGAGCAAACGTGACTTATTCTTTCTCAATAAGGTAAGGATTTTAAAGGTGGGGTTGATAAATTCTTTTTTGTTTTGTTTTGACAGCAGTGAGTTGCCAATCAGGCTATGGCAGTGTAAAACAAGAGAAACCTATCTTATTCACAGTTCTTGGTTAGACTTAAAACTCAATTTCTGTTCTTTTTTGTCTGTATTTTCCTTCCATGGTACTTTGTCATGCTTTTCTGAGGATAGCTCAAAGACCTCTTTAATCCCAGTGTATGCACTGATAACTGAGTGCATATTATTAATCATATATTATTAATCACCTATCTAAGCAACTATCAACACTAGGGAGGCTGAAAACAGGAAAATCAGTATGAGTCCAATCTACATAGTGAGACCCTGGAGACCCTATCTTAAATTCAGAAAAAAAATAAGCAGCTATCAAATCTCTCCCTCTCTGTCTCTCTCTTTCTCTCTGAGTCACTTGTTTCATGAAAGAAGATGTTACCAAATACAGTTGTCTTCATTTATTAGAGAAATTAAGGAAACAGAAACTGAGTGATTTGTTTGTACAGTCACCAGTGCTGGGTCCAGAGCTGGAAGCGATTTTGTTCACTTCCTATTGGCCTTTCTCCCACTCCACACCCTCCATACCTGTATCATCCTTAAGTGACTCTGAATTAGTCTCATCTACTATATAAAAGCTATGTCTTAAAAGAAACACCTCAGAGGTTGGGGATGCAGCTTATTGGTACAACACTTGCTTAGCATGTGAAAGCCCTCAATTTTATTCCTAGCACCAGCAAAAACAAAACCAAAAACACCTATGTCCAAGATCTGAGGGCCAACAATTAATACTTTGTAATGTGACATGTGGCACAAAAGCTGCATTCTTCTCTGAGGAGAAATCTAGGAGGCAGTTATTTAACATTATTCGCAAGTAATTAGCAATAATAGTGATGAAAATGTGTAAGGCAGAGGTTTAACATTCAGACTTCAGAAGCAGATTTCCTTGATTTAAATCCCGTGTCTTCTATGAAATCTGGCATTTTGGGTCAAGTTAATCTCTAGGTCTTAGCTATTTCAAGTATTAAACAGAGCTAATAGAGCCCAGGTGATAGAATTGTGGGAAGGTTCAAAATCTCTTAATTAAACACTCAGTGAATGTAACCATCATCATCACTGAAGACCAGTGAGACAGAAAGATTGGGTGGGACTGAGGTTGAAGCTAAGTGGTAGTGAGCTTCCCTGTGAGTGCGAGGCTTTGGGTTGGACTCCAGTACTACTGGGGTGAAAAAAAAGGACAAGATTGGTCGACTCCAACTTCATGCCACTGCTCTATATAGTGGGAGAAATTTCAGACATCAAAGCATGATGCCCATCTCTGTCACACTGGCAAAATTCTTTGTGCACAAACAAGAACTACTGGACATAGGCAGGTGTAGTGACACATGCCTGTGGGCTCACCGAGTTGCAAGACTGAGACGGATATATTTTTTGAGTCCAGGAGATCAAGGTGAGTCTGGGCAACATAGTGAAACCTGTCTCCAAGACAAAACAAACAAACAAAAAGAGCTACTTGGGGCCGGGGAGATGGCTCAGTAGAATAAGCACTTGCCTGGCAAGCGCAAGGGCCTGAGTTCAACCCCCAGTTCCACCAAAAAAAAAAGTGCCACTGGACAGATGACCCTTTGTCATAATCCCTCAAGTTTCATTTACCTGGATACACCAGTATCTGAGTTGAACAGACTGGCAATGTGAATGCAAGAAGATATTTAGGAAGAGCTAAGGCCACAGAACACCCCGGGGACCCTGCAGGATGGAGTTTCAGGTGGTGGTTATTATGCACTCTGAGGCCTGCCTGCCTCCTGCCACACAAGGTCTCTTTCTGGGGCAGGAACATTGCCCCCCTCTGTCCTCCCTGGGTTTGTTAGAGCTGTCTCCTAAGGCTTCCACTCTACCCTCTGCTTGCTCCTACTGTGCCCTCTGGTGGAGGGATCACTTCTGCTTTGTGATATTTCTAGAAAAACCAAGAGAAGATGTGGAGGGTGATGAAGGTTAACACTGCTGGTGTGCAGGTGGATGGGGGCTCCACCGTGCCCCAGGCCCTGTGTCAGAACTGCCTCTAGAATATTCAAACCTGGGTTTGTGATCTAGTCCTATAGCCACTGCATGTGCTAGGTTTCTAGGCTCTTATTTACCAGGTGAATAACTAAACGCATCAAAAATCTTTTCTTATTCTACATAAATAGCCAAAGCATATCTCTTTCTCTGTGAGTTGTAAAATAGGATAGACCTTTTTGGATAAAGAAAATAAAGTGATTTGTTTGCAATCACTCCATTAATAGAAGACCCAGGATATGTATCAGAAGAGGCTGCCCAATTCAGGATAGAAAGCCTTGTCTACTCTTGTTAGGATCAACTTCTATCAATTTTGATTGGAATAGAAAAGAAATTTCCTGTTCCCTCCTTCTCCAAAGAGACTGGAGAAATCAGTAAAGTACCCTTGTCTTGGAACCTCTCCAGGGGCCACAAGTGAAGCCCCAGTTGTACTTGCCATCTTTTCATAGCATCTGAATGAGGACATGAAGATTAAAGATTCATGTCATCTTTCACAAGGTAGCAGATGTGATGGAGAAGTACTTAAGAACACAAATTTAGGGGTTGATCAAATCTGGGCTCAAGCTTTGCCCTTCCTCTCTGCATGTGACTTTGGCTACTTAAATTCTCTCTTGGAACCCTTTTGTCCATATTTAAGACCCACTTCATAGAATTGCTGGGAAGATCATAGTGTAAGTGTTTGGTGCCTACCACTATTGTCCATCTTCTGTCTGGCTAAGATGACATATAGAATTCCAGACAAGAGCAGCGTAGTCTCCCCCTCCCAAGAAGTAGCACCTTGCTGCTGATTCAGTCTCTACTTTGTGTAATGACATCCTCAGAGTCAGATGGGTGCCTGCTCAGCGACCGGTGTCTCCATTTCCCTGCCAGTCCTCCTTTCATCCTTGTCCTTCTTGGTCTCTTCCAAGGATGCAGCACTACACACGGAGCCTAAGAAAGAAACTCCCGAGCCAGGCTTGGAACCGGATGAGAAACCGAGGCTAGACAGTGTTACCAGCAGTGAGAGCTTCGCAAGCTCTGGGTTTCAGGAAGATAAAAGCCTGAGTGATGTGGAGGAAGAGGAGGGTAGGTATTAATTCCTTCCTGTCCTACAGTCTGGGATATTTTTATAGCACGCCGTGCATCACAGACATTTTTTTCTTATTTATCACCCTAATAAACATCCGTGGGAGACTCGAAGAATAATGTCCTGAGGAGATAAGATTTGAATTAAGATTATTTACAGAGTTACTAATTTTGACAAGGAACTTTGGATTATCTCCCCTTGGGCCTTGTTGTCCTAAATGTACACACACACACACACACACACACACACACACCCATACACCCATGCTTAGATCCAATGGGCTGCTCTCTCTGCTGTTCCTTTTGAAACTCCAGTTGCTCTTGCAGCTGAATTCTGATCCATTTGTTGGTTTGTTTTATATTTTGCTAACATTGTTCCAATAAACTGGGATTTGGTGGAATAACAAGAGCCATTACAAACAGCTCCAACTCTAATGCTTTGCAGATTCGGATGATTTCTACAAGCAGCCCATCACCATGGAAGATCTAATTTCTTACAGTTTTCAAGTGGCCCGAGGCATGGAGTTTTTGTCTTCCAGAAAGGTCAGCTTATCTCTTTATTATTTTTCTTCTTTTAAAAAAAATATCGGGGATAAGGAGAAATTTTTTTTAAAAAATTGTTTGACTTTTTTTCAACATTTATTTTAAACTGACATAGTAAAATAAAATTTGTACATGTTATAGAGTATGTTCTTATACATATGTAATTGCATAACATTGAAATGAGGGGCCAGGGGTTCAATCCCCAGCCTGCTGTGCTGGCCCCACCCCTGGGGCATGCTGAGACTGTGAATGAGACTGGGTGTGGTGGCATGCACCTGTAATCCTAGGGCTTGAGAGGCTGAAAACAGTAGGATCACTAAGAGTCCGATCTGTGTAGTGAGACCCTATAGACCCTATACTAAATACATTTTTTTAAAAAAGAAATGAGGTAATACATTTTAATTTTCCCAAATGTTTATCATTTTTTTAAGGTAAAAACTTCCAGAGTCCTTTCCTCTGCTGTTTGTGCTCTTTGCCATGCCCAGACCTACTCTTCTGTATAGTAGTTGGATGTACCCATGTTTTTAAATGTAGAATAAAACAGGTACCTTCAATTGCCCAAGTGTGAAGAGCTTTGAGAACAATGAGCCCAGGGTACTAGATGAGAGGGCTTCATTCTAGGTGAGAATCTCACTAGGACCAGACTGATCTGGAAACCATTCTCCACTATGCCCTCTGGTGTGTGTTAAAGCTATGCAGAATGTTAGTGTACAGGACTTTATAGGAGACCTGTTAGTACCTTCCTGTGGGACCCTCCCACAAACCCCCTGCTGGCTGGCAATCTGATATGTGCCCCTCAGGACATCATGGGGAGGTTTTGCTCAATGCTGAAACTTAAGGTTGTCAATTTGGTTGACCAGGATGCCATCGGCAGAGCAATAGCCAGTGGATTCAGAGCATTTCTTAACTTTGGGACCTCAAGGTACCCATATTTGTAAAGAAGTGCTTCGTGTTTATGGTAACTTCATGCACAATGGGAGTCACTTCCTTCACTGCATGTGAAATAGATCCTCAAATTAAGAAGAACATCACCAAGCAGGCACAGAAATCAGTTGGTTCAGGGGGCTCCGTGGCACAATGGATACTGCATTGGACTTCTAGAAATTGGTCGGTTTAATTAAGGAAGGGTGTTGATTATGGAAGTGTGTTTCATTATAGTGCATTCATCGAGACCTGGCAGCACGAAACATCCTTTTATCTGAGAACAATGTGGTGAAGATATGTGATTTTGGCCTAGCCCGGGATATTTATAAAAACCCCGATTATGTGAGAAAAGGAGATGTAAGTGACCTTGATATTATTTGACTCACTCATAGCCTATCATTTTAAACCACAGCCAAAACCTTTGGTAAATATTTACCCTCTGTCGGCAGTAGTCCCTGAAAACGGTGACCTGACAAGTGATCTGGACAAGCCTCTAGGGGAGGACCCTGTGAGGCTCAGAAAGGACATCGCCTTCTGGTTGTTTTCCTCTAAGCCCGCAGCCTGAGAGCCATCCCTCAGGCTTGAGTGGCTGTGACTTGCTAGCCTGAGATTATTTGGTGGGACCTGGTGAGACCAAATCACCCCTGCCTTGGACTCCCATTGTACCACAGAAATGAACACCCTGGACTCTGTCCCTCAGTCCCAGATGATTGATCAAGCAGGTGCTTGCACCTCCGGAAAGGGTGGGGAAGGAAGGACACTATCTTGCTGAGGAGGCACCTGTTTACCTCTGTGTGTGCCTTCCTGGGCTAACATCTCCCTGCTGGCTCATGCTGGCCTCTCTTCCCCAGTTTGTTTTTGAACACAGTGTTATTTGTCCCTTAGGGGGTGACTTCCTATGTCCTTCTTCTCTGGCCTCTCCCTGAAGCATCCATTTGTGTCTGGGGTCTGATCATTGTTCCACAGCACTGGTTCTTAAGCTGTTACTGAGCACCACCTAGAAGCCTTGCTCAATTGCAGTCGCTGGCTCACCCTCAGCCTTCCCAATTCAGTAAGTCTTGCCTGAGATCCCAGAGACTGCATTTGGAACAAATTTCTGGGCAATACTGACACAGCTGCTTAGGTCTTACTTTGAGAACCACTGTTTCATAGTCATTTTTCATGAAAGGTAAAAATAGCCCGCAGAACTTTCCCTGGAGCCCTGGTTTGCACTGGTGGCGTCTACCTGTTTCAGTCTGCCCTTCTTCTGTCCATTTGTGTCTCTTTCATCCAGCCTTACACCCTGCTTTTTCTCCTTTTGTGTCTTTGTTATCCCATACTTTCTGCCAGTCCCTATCCCAACTCCCAGGCAAACTCACTGAGAGTCCTGCTCTCTGGAAGAGAAGCACAGTTTGTCTGTAGGCTTGAAATCCAATCCTGTATTCTCTTAAGTACTGTGTACTTAAACATGCTTAAACACTAAATCACCTTGCTCCTTTCCAATGCCTTTGCCTGCCCTATTCAATGCATGGGGTGTGGGTGGGGTTACTGGAGCAGGAACTCAGGGCTTTCGGTGCTAGGCATGCATTCACCCATGCAGTGACACACTCTTCTCCTCACCAGTGACTTAAAATCCTGTCTTCTTTGCATTGGAATGTCTTTCCTAGTTCTCCTGGGGAAAAATCGTGTGAAGTTGCCACCAATTTTCAGGTGTGTCCTAACGCAGGTCACTCCCAAGCCCTAATTCCTGTCATGAATTTAGGTGTTTGAGGGGAAGGTTTCCTTTTAAGCTGTGGAGTTAGGATGTGCTGTGGACGCCAGAGGAGTGTCCTAACCGTGCCCTGCCACCAAAGGGTCAGTGTGGCACACAATGGCCTTCTTTAGCATAATGCTGCCTACCCTAGGAGTTAGGAAAGCACTCTGGGCCGTGTGTCATGTGGCAGTGGCCCATGCACTGGGCCTGGGTGTGCTTTGTTTTCATGTCTTTTGCTCAAGGCATCCTTGCTCTCTTCTAGACTCGACTTCCTCTGAAATGGATGGCTCCTGAATCCATCTTTGACAAAATCTACAGCACCAAGAGTGATGTGTGGTCCTATGGAGTGTTGCTGTGGGAAATCTTCTCCCTAGGTAAATCTGGGGGAGGGACAAGATCAGACAGTACACAGGTACATGCCCGCCCCTGATGTTAGCACAGCGTCAAGTCCTGCACACCAGCCTGAGGTGTGCAGTGAACCCCAAGGACTGCTGGCTGTGCTGCTCCTACCTGCAGCGCTGTCCTCATGGGTTCCTGGGGGACTCACAGCTGTGCCCAGGCAGACTACATCTGCTCACAGACACAGTGACAACGTGAGGCCTCCTGAACATGTATTCCAGCCAAGAGTCTTCAGGGCTTTGCCAAAAATGTGACTTTTACAACAAATAAAAGTCACCTAGTAACATCCATGGTTTCCTGTAATGTGTAAAAATCATTCCCCTGCTTTTGATGACAGGCACCTGCTGCTTCCAGTCTTTGAGAGCAGCTTGGCGGCCACAGTGGCCCTACAATTGTCCTGTGCCAGCATGCACATCTCCCAGCTGTTTCCTACAGCAGCAATCATTAGAAAGTGCAGACAAGCACAAGCGGAGACTAAGTAGTAGGTATGAGCACTAGAACTCCATAGTCTGGGAGGCCTCGCAACCTTCCGGGAAGGGGCACCTCTAAGAGTAAGTAGGGCATCTGAGCCAGTCAGACGGACAAAGGGCAAAGTCTGGGCCCTCTGGCCCCTTTCACCCTGCAGGCTCCTGAATACAGGCAGCCCTCACCCCACACCTTCAACCGTGTCCTGGATGGAGTCAAATTCCCCCTTCCCTTAGGAAATCCTAATTACTAGTCCTCAATGCAAGAACTGAAATCATCCTCACTGAAGTATGAATGATATGCAGTAGCCTAGCCCCAGGCCTTTGGCTTTATTTTATGTTTCATTTTTTTCTTTTTTGCGGTATTAGGGGCTCTAGCTCATGGGCATTCTGCCCCTGGACTACACTGCAAGTCCACCTCCCCTGTTTTACACGTTGAGACAGAATCTCATTAAGTTGACCAGGGTGGACTGATCTCTGGAGCCTCCTCCCTCAGCCTCCTGAGAGTTGGGATTATAACTTGTACCACAAGGACAGTTTCCATCCACTTTTTAAAAACAGATCATTAACCCAAGCAATGGATCTCTGGTGATGGGATTTCTTTAGAGCTCCTTCAAGGGACAGTGTGGGGACCCTTTCGATTGACCCTTTCCCTGCCCAGTCAGATTTAAGAATGGCCTTTGGTCATTCGTGACCCACACCACAGAACCAGCCAGCCTACCACGCACCCCTAGCAAGGACTCACTGAGCTCCTCTGCATGTTGTACCTACTTTGAAGTCCAGTTTGGTCACTGGGGATGTATTATAAAGCAGTGCTTTAAAGGGAGGAAACCAACACTGAACTGTGCCCATGCAGCCTTTGGAACCCTGAAGCCACAACATGCTTGTGTTTTCCCCATACTGTCCCCCCAGGCGGGTCTCCATACCCAGGAGTGCAGATGGATGAGGACTTCTGCAGTCGTCTAAAGGAAGGCATGAGGATGAGAGCCCCCGAGTACGCGACCTCTGAAATGTGAGCCTGTGCTCCTCCCTTCTCACCCTCCAGAGAGCCTCCTGGGGGTGGCTTGCAGCTGTGAGAGCCCCCGTCTTAAAAGATGCAGGCAGAGACTTTTCTCCAGGGCTTCCCCTCTCAGCCCGTTGGGGCCAACTGTGCTGGGAGTGTTTTCCTGAAGGGGGATGTGTTGGCCTTGGTCCACCCCTACCTGTGTCCTCTGCTGATCACTGACATGACTGTTCAAGGCCTCTAGCTGAGAACTGGAGTTAGAAGCTCAGTTTCTAGGTCTAAATCCTGGCATGATGAATAGACCACCCAGGCACTGAATGCAAGACCTTGGCCCCATTCCTCAAGGGGGAGCCTAATGAGCTAAGCCACCCGAACGCCGAGCTCTCTCAGTGCTATGGACCAGTGCTGCGGCCATCCTACCCTGTGTGGACGGCAGGGAAAGAGATGAAGGCAGGGCACAGGGAGACTTCCTGACTCCACAAAAGATTACATGGGCAGTACCTACTAAGAGTCCTTTAGAAATAGGCCCAGCAGATCTCTGGAAATACATGAATCAGAAGACTTCTTCAGGTACCTTCCTGTTGTACCACCCAAGACGCTGGGAAGATGCCAGGCCCTGTGTGAAAGCCTTCTCCATTGTGGAGTTGCACTTGCTCGCCCCTTTGGGCCACTCTCTTTCTGAAGCTTTGTACACATTTTGTGCTTTGAAGCTTGGGCAGGAATGTGATGACACTTGCAGTTCTGTGGAGCTGCTGACAAGGACTTGGGCCTCACTAAGGCGGCACCACCTTTCCTGAACTGGCAGACAGCCCTCCCCATCCCACCCACACAGTGGGGTCCTCTGGAGCCTGGGATGGCCTTTGGGGAAGAGTCAGGGGCAGCAAAGGAAATGTGGGCTTGGCCAAAGGTCACAATCTCTTTCCTTCAGCATCTCAAGACAAAGCTAGGTCAGATCCGGGAGCGTAGCTGGATGAGTAGAACAGAGGATTCAGGCATGAAAGCAGGGCCAAGGGCAGCCTGTGCAGGAGCAGGCAGGGGAGTGTTCTTGTCTGTCTTGCAAGGCATCCTCTTCAGGAAAGCAAAGGGAGGTTGCAGCACGACCTCTTTCAGAGGGCTAGGTAAGCCCCACCTCTCCACTTGGGGTGCATATTGCTACAGGCCTGGGGCTTTTTATGTGCTTAATTCCCTTAACTTGAAGAGAGGACAACGTCAAGAGATTTGGCTTGGAATGAGGTAGCTTTGCACTTTATGATTCTCTCAATGTTGTCCCCCTGTAGTCTCCTATGACAGTCCCAAAATCTTGAGGAGGAGGCAGTACAGAGCAGAGCTATAATCTGAATTGGACAGGTGTTGAAAGTAAGACTTGGAAATGAAGCAATCAGCAGAATAGCAGAAGAGACACAGTTGGAACCCAGACCACAGAGGTTGTTAAGTTAGGATTCTATCCTATGCTGTCCGAAACATGTGTTTTACCAACACCCATATGTCCTTATAATTTTCATATAATCTGAAAATCGTTAATAAGTTGTCAAATACTAACAGTAATGGCAATTGTAACTACTACATATATTTATTAACTAAGTGGTCATTTAGTGCATATCAGCACTGGACATTTTTAAAACACTTTAGTGCATATTAATTTACTTGATACTTGCAACAACACTGTAAAATAGGTGCTGCCATTAGCTCTGGTTTAAAGATAAGAACACTGAGACACTGGACACCCAGTGCCACATTGCTGAGCAGCCCAAGTCCAGAGGCTACACCTTCTCCTACACATCCACAGGGGCATCTACAGTTTTCAGCCAAGTTCTGGCTTAAAACAACTCTAACAGGACAGAGCCACCTGGCTTTGGACTAAAGACTTTCCTGGATTTTTAACAAACCTTCAGGTCATTGCATAAACCTCCCCTGGGTGGCCCCTGAGCCTCACTGGGGGGGTGAATAGACAGAGGTGTGGATCCTCAACTGTGGAAAAGTTTACTTTAGAAATATTGTGTAAGTGTTCTTCCACAGGCCAGGATTCAAGCCTCTAGCCATGGATGCTGGCTCTGAGAGCTGAGGAAGTGATCTTCTTGTTTGTTCACAGTAGGAAGGTCTGAGTGAGGACCAAGTGCAGCTTCTGAGAATGGGGAGGGAGGGCATGACCTGCTCTTGGCCTGAAGTGGTGTGTGCTTGGGAACTTGGGTGCTAGCTTGGCGAGGGAACTCTTTCCATGGGCCCCTCACCCCAGGTTGGGTGTAACTGGTGTTCCTTTACACCAGTTCAGTGGTGAAAACTGTATAATTTTGAGTCAAGTCCTTGGTCCCTTGCCCAGAACCTATTTAATAAGATGCCTTTCAAAAAGTGAAAAAGCACTGTTTGCTAAGATGGTCCTCTTGAGTTGTAGCCCAGAGGAGGGAAATCTAGAAATCAGAAACCACAAATGAAACTAGAAAAAGAGCAGGTAGTTGTAGGTGGTCCCTGTTACTAGCTTCATGAGAGGAACCCAGGAGCGTTCCCCCAAATAGCTGCTTGCTGCTGTTGCCTGTGTGATGCTGCTGCTGGTGGAATGGAGCCTCAGGCCTTTGTCGAGTGGAAGCTGCTCCCTGCTCCCCAGACACAGGCCCCTTTTAGTTCACCAAGTCAAAACTTCCTTGCTCTCTCTATTTATTTTAATGTTTTAAAGTGCTGGGATGGAACCCAGGACCTCGTACTCTACCATTGACCTCAGTTCCAGCTCTTCTGCTACCTGTTTAGATTAGCTAAGTGTGTATTTAACATTCTCCCATCTGTGTCCAGGTACTAGTCTGTTGCTAGACATGAGAGCCTTGGGGACCGAGGCTTGTGTGTACTCTAAGGCAGAAGCAGGCCAGTCTGCCACAGCCAGAGAACCTTGGGTGGAGGCCCCTCAGATTCTTTTTTTTTTTCAAAGTTTTATTGATAAACATATAGCAATGAGACAGTTTCAAATCAAATCAAAAGTACAGTTTCAACAAATAATACACTGCATATATT